GACTCAAATTGGTGCAGCAGAATATTAAGGCCACGTTAAGAAACAAAATTAAGAGAATAAAATTATAATATTTTGGGACAAAAGTTGCACAGTATTAAGTCAAACTAATACGAGAATAAACTCATGAGAATACTCATAATGTTTTAAAAAAAATAGTAATAATACCAAATTAAAGTCACGCTTTTACCAGAATGAAGTCAGAATAATAAGAGAATAAAGTTATATGACTAAAGTCATAACATTATGAGAATAAAGTCGTGGTAATAATTGAAAAAAGTCAGAATGATCGAGAATAAACTCATAATGCCAGAATAAAGTCATGGTATTAGTAAAACAAAGTAGTAAATTTCTACACAAAAAATATGAAACAATAAAAGTGAGGAATACTGAGCATCTTGTGAAGTTATACTTTGGTACTGGATTTTCAGATAACATCAAATTATTAGAAGTGGGACTTTTGTCTCATTTGAAGAAAGAGTCACATAAGGACTTGATAACTATCAAAGCCTTTATCTCAATAAAACAATTTGTATTGAAAATTCATGACTTTCTTCTGGTAATATTGTGTCCTTTTCTGCTAATGTTATGACTATTTTTGTAATATTGTGAGTATTCTCATAATTAAAAAAATAAATCTCTTAGCCTGGCCTTAATACTCCATCATACGTTGGTATTGGTGAAACATTGGCTTTTGTGATTTAAAGAACATTTAATCAGCGTTCATGACAGATATCTATCTTTTCTTAACAATATAAGTACGTGTTACCGCAGTATGATGACATTTAAATAAACCACAAGTTTTCAGTGAAAACCTGACTTTAGAAATGCTCGGCGCTACCGTTGAAAACACTGTAACAAGGTGGACGGCCTTACGCATGGTTTCTGGCCATCTGTCCTACATACTGCCGCCCATGCTGCCTGCCCACCTGCTGCAGAGCTACAAGGACACATTACCTCCTCTTAGCCCTTCACCACTTGGCAACGGTGAGAACCATAACAACCGGTCTTTATGGAACCCACTTTAAGCAATAGCTCTTATTGCTCTTGGAACATGCAGCAACGTGCTCTGGGATTTCAGGACCTTCCTCCTCTCTGGCTCCGCCGAGCTGCACCCTTCCAAGACCTCCTCCTCTGGAAGTCTTTGGATTTCACTGCTGTACAAATGTATGCGGGGGAGACATTTATCATGAGCCGCATGCCGCTGGAGACGGCATCGGTGGCTATTTTGCAGGTCTGGTCAGGGAAAGACAGGAAAGGGGAGCTTCGCTGCGAGGGAATGACATTTACATGTATATTTACATTTATTCACAGCTGTTGCCGAATGGCGGCAACCTCAAGTGGCTGAGGGGAGGACTAGAAAGGTCACAGCCTGTGCAAGCATTGAGGCTTTATTAAATTTGTAGGTTAGCATCACCTACAGACAGATGTATTTTAGATTCTAAATTCAGTTTACGAGATAAACTTGTATTTTTTTCCTAAGTTTCAAAATGCTATATTTTCTCTTATTTACGTTGTCTTTCTCTTTATCTTCTCTGTTACATTGTTCTATTGTATTTACGTAAAAATATAATCCTCCAGACTCATTGAGCAGACTGCCTATCCCTTCTGGCCAAGGAACACATTGGTATCTTTCAGAATAAGCTTAGATACTAGATACAGTAATAATTTGGCAATGGCAGCAGAGGAAGGAGAACGAAGCCGTTCAATCCGTGTTAGCCACACTTTCAAATATTGATTAAATAAAGCAAGATGAACATTTAAGACAATTTAATGCTGGCAAAGATGTTGTGGTCCTACTCCCCACAGGGATTTGGTAAAACTCATTTTGGATGGTTGTTTGCATCGCACGCTAGCTTCATAGCATGGCTTCCCTCAAGATTGAGTTGGAGCATTACATGTCATGACCAAACTGGGTAAAGTCTTATCTTAGGTTTCTCAGTGGCCAAGGGTTCAGATTATCTTTACGAAGTAAAGCGTAGAACAAGGAGGTTGTTTTCACCAGGCTAACCTTAAAGGCTAACCAAATAAAAAATCTGATGAAATGCAGGGAACAAGAACTGTTCCTCTATGTAATCATGCTTCAGTTGATTCACATGAAAACGTTGAAACAAATAGGCTCCTTGAGATGAACTGAAAGCTTACAAACAGTTACAATTTCACAGATTTCTTAGGCATTAGCTTGTGTTACACTGAAGCTGCAGCCTACACCTCATTAACTGTAACTTATTCTTCTGCCGGGATAATTTCCCCCTACAACTGCAAGACGATTGCACCATCTTCAAGGCTACTGAAAGGCTGATACAAACTTTTAAATTTAGTTTAATTTTAAGCCTTACGGTTCAGCGCAGAATGATGAGCCAGTCGGGTGTATCGATGCCATCAGCAGTACAAACCCGTAACATTTGAGTAGTGACACAGACTTTGGCTAAGAAAACAGCAACAAATTTGTTAACGTGGAGAAGTTCAGTATTTTCTAATATGTCCTTGTAATTCATAGACATTTCAATTTTGTTTTAAAATGCTAAAATCAGCAGAGACGTGTCTTTCCACTGATTAGCTGTTCCTCTACTTTGAGAATTCCTTCACTTTCTTACCAATTTATAGTGAAATGTCATCTTTCTTTTCAACTAAAAGAACAATCAGAATAACTTGATAGAACCTGACCAAAACTTTAACCATCCATTTTAAGATTAATCACAGTAAACTAGCTAATATTGTATGCTTATTAAAATGACCAGGTTTAAGGTTATTTTGCTAAATTAACTGTGATTTACTTGGATTTCTATTGCCTAATCCAACGTATACTACCAAAAAGTTCTACTTGCAGATGATATAAGTATAAAGATATACAGAGATGACCCAGTGGTTTACAAAAACAGCTAGACATCGAAGAAGAAAAATCTTTTCTTAGCAATGACAGAAGTTTTAATACATGTTTTTCTTATCATAAAATTGCCCCAACTGTAAATCACAATATTTACAATTTGTAGATGAAAAAATTGGCTCTGTATTTTCAAAGTTGCTATTTTTTGCAGAGATTCCATGTTTTGTTCCATGTTAAATGTTCTTCCCTCAAATTGATTAACTTCTCCTGCAAAAGATGCCAACATTTCAGTGTCGACTTCAAAAGACTGAGGTGCCATTTGTTGGCTTTTTCAGCATCAGAGCAATAAATGCTAAAATGAATGCAAAACACCTCCTGTGTTTAAGTGGGAGATGCTATGCTTTTTTACCCCCTCGTTTAATGTGTTAGATTACATAATTAGTTAGTTCCTAGTAGGAACTGCAGCTGTGATAATTCTCTGTTAATCACATCAGCTCACAGTTTTTTCCCCTTATTTAAACATTTAAATAATTCTCTCAAAGAACACTTCTTATCTCTGGAGATGTCTACAGCAATGATTCAATTAAACAGCAGCAGTGAGAAATAAAGAGAGAGAGAAAAAAACCATGATGGTTTATTTTCCATATATTTGGCTTCAGTTAGAGGGAAATATTCATTTATTCTAATCCTGAACTTTAAGTTTTAGTATTCCGCTGCTTCCGACAGTCACTTTTATCAATATGGGAACAGAAAACCTCCTGACAAAATGACAAACGACACCCTCCGATTCACGCATGCACATACAGTATTCATGTGCATGAATACAATCAGCTTTTAGATCCACACATATGCACATAAAACACACCTCCAGCAGGTTCCCTTCAAAATTACATTTGGCCAAACGTAGACACTGGTCTTGGAGCCCGCAGCTTCCAACCCCCCCACACAAAGCTCCAAGCTCCCCTTCATGTCCCTCTCAGGAGCCAAAATGGCGTCCATAAATCAAGGAGCTAGATGTAATCTGCAGTGTCCAGAATGCAAGAGGGCGAGGCTGCGGAGCATAATGTGACTGGTTCTCCATTGTCATTCAGCAGCACAGAGTGCCTTGGCTGCACCTGATAAGGGTCTGCTTAGAGTGAGCCATAAATCACCGGCACTGCCAACCGCTCCTATGCTGGTTTCACACAAGAGAAGAAAGAGCACACGGGAGGCACGGAGACAAGAGGAATGGAGCACAAAGAGGACGAGGAACGGGCTCGAAGACGTGGTGGAGAGAGATGGCACAGGACGGGGATAAAAACACAACGATAAAAACAATAGAGAGCTCCAGTAAAGAGGCCAAGTGTGGAGAATGAGAAACGGGGTGAAGAAGAGGCCATAGAGCGAGGATTCTGAACAACGAAGAGTTCTGAAAAAAACTAAATGTAAAACTGTTATGAGCGTTACATCCAAATGTTATTCCCTCATCAAAAACATACCTGGAGTGTTGCCTTTATTCTTTCATGCACGTCTGAGAAATTTTTTAATCTCCCATGGCAACCATTCAGCTGTGGGTGGACCTAGAACCGCCTCCAAAAAGGAAACTCCTCCTTGGAGATGCGGTTTACAAGCTTCAGCGTTACAGTGCCGCCCTCCCCAACGGCTACCCCACTCTGCTCCTGCAGACTAGCCAGCAGCAACTAGCAAACACCTAGTGGAACTGTGCATCTGCTGAGCTCATTATAGGAGCTACTTCTTAGTGCAACACTGGCGAAAACGTTCAAGGGTTAATAGAGGAGCCCTGTCCTGAAAGCAGAGTTTCAGAAAGAGCAGGAGTTTTTAAAGAGACAGAGTTTAAAGCAGCTAAAGAGAATTTCAAGGTGTTAAATGAAGTCAAACTTCTTTTACGTCTTATTTGATGTATATACAGCATTTTTATAAAAACTGAATGTAACAGTCACTTGATTGTGCTGTAAAATCGAACTACTTGCTAGAAAACATATAATAATGTCCTTTTAAAAGTAAAATAGAGGAATCAGTCTATTAAACTAGTATGGTACAATGTTGTCGTTATAACAGGACAGAAAAATCGTCTCTACAAGGAGAAATTTTTCGGTTAAATTAGTTTTTGCAGAAACTGTATTCAAGTACACACAAATATTTACACCAATAGATTTTAAATACTCTCTTGATGTACCTTTGGCAGCAACGACAGCCTCACATCTTCTTGGGTATGCTTGACCCTCCTGTTTTGGAGTATTTTTTCCTTTCTTCTCTGTAGATCCTCTCAAGTTGTCCAGCTGTGTGGCCGACATCAGTCGACAACGTCATTAGGGCTTTCCAGAGACGTTCAGTTGGATTTACATGCCAGTTCCCTCTGGGCAATTCCAGAACATGCACAGAATGTTCCTGAAGTGATTCCTTTGTAACTGTTTGCTTTGGGTCACCATTCTGTTGAAAGATGAATTTTCACTTTAGTCTGAGTTCCAAAGCACTTTGAAGCAGGTTTTCTTGACTCTCCACTCTTGGCTTCCGTCGTAACCGAAATACGCAGACTGGTTTTCAAGGTTCTGGCAGAATCATCACCAAACCCCAAAAGACATCCCCACAACATACCATCACCATGCTAGCACTGCCTGTTTTATGTTTTGGTTTTTAGCGTTAGGCTTCGACTTTGTTAGCATTTAAATGTCTTTTCTGTGTCTTTGCATTTTCCTTCATGTCTATTTTGTTTGCTGCAATTTAAGCAAACTTTTAAGTTTTAGAAAACTAGCAAGGAACTTCGACATACGAGTTTAATTCATTCCGTGACCAAGCTAGTGAGCCAATATGCTCATATTTCTAACGGATTTTCTCTATTTAAGATAACAAAAATAATTGTAATCCATTCCAGCCTTGTAAAATATTCCCAAACCACGCTATAATAAATAAAAATACATATAAAAATACATATAACAAATAGATGTGCTTAATTAAATATATAAAATAAAAGAAAAACGTTTTATTAAGTGTTCTTACCATGGAAACAGACAAGAAAAGGGAGGGAGGAAGGTTTGTTTGCACGCTGCCTTGAAAGTTTGTTAACTCACGTTCATGTTTTTTCTATCATTCCAAGCTTCCGGTCAGTCACCGTGGAACGAGATGCGGTCTAAGCTGAAGCTGCGCCTGTGCGCCATCTAGTGGTGGCGTCCCGAAGCAACTCAGATTTAAGCTCGACTCGCATGATTCGCTGGTAGTATGCGCTTCTTATTCTTTTTCTTTATTACATTGGTGGTTGAAGAAACAACTGAAGAAAGCATTACCGCCACCAACTGGTCAGAAGTGTGGACTACATGACCAAAAAATAAAAATTTAATAATGATCATACAAAATTATATATATCCTGAAAAAGTCCATGATGTAAAAAAATAAAATGGTGAATAAGATTTTTCTAATGATGATAAAAGATAATGAGAACAAAAACTACTTTAATTGAATAAAGTGCTCTGTCTACAACAGAAGGACAGCAGTCCCTTTTCCACACAACAGCTTGAGATTGGTAGAACATTAACATATGTTGTTCCTGGCCATTTGCTGAACAGCTGATGTACCGTGATTTACCATCAACAGTCTGCAAATAACTACTTGGTGATTTAAAGCGATGGGTTTCACTGTGTGCTGTAAATAAACGCCTCATCAAGGTTGAATGAAACAACAGCAGCAAACTCAAACAGTTTGTGAGAACTTTGTCACAGTTTTCACAATCTAATTACCTGAAAACAAAAATGGAACGTATTCTAATGATTGAACTGTGTTAAATCTTGGCTTTGAAAAAAGAAAACAAAAGTTGGTTTTGTCACGCTACAGAAACTGTTGAAAAGTAAAAAAGAATAATAAAAAAATAAAAATTAATTGCGATCATAATCTAATTGTGTTCATGTCTAAATGTGACATCGTGTCATAACAACACAGATCAAGGCGATCATTCAGCTTCCATCTTGAACAGGGAGTGGAAAGCTTTGTATAACCCCGTCCCTCCATCTCCGAAGGCAGCTCTCACTCATCGAAGCTCCTATTCAATCATCCCCTTATTCCTTATTCATATGCTAAATCACTATAGCAGAGCGCCTTTGGCCAAGCACACTGCGAGATAGATGTTAACATGTGTAATCCCCCATTAACGCATAGGAGGCAACGGATCCTCGGCTGACACCCGCCTGCCCCCAGGGATTGGCCCTCGGAGAATGGAGGGGCTGATGGGTAATGTTCAGAGAGGCTCTTCTCACTTTCACAAGCCTCCCGCCTCCTTTCACTCTGCCCTTGTGCTATAAGCTGTGATCACTGATGAGTGGGTGAGTTTGCTAGGTGGATTTTTGTAATTGTCCCGCATTCAGGCATACAGGAGTTGCTTGTGCAATAGGAGCATAACACTTTAAGCTAATGCTCCTAGTTTAACAAAGCAGCTAATTTTGTTGTTAGTACGGCAGAAACTCCAAGACTTCCAGTCATTTGCATTAATTATTCATTTTTCTAATGAATTATAGACTTCAAATTAATTTAGGAATCATTATACAAAAGTTGTTACCAAATTAATAATTGAAAAGCCATTTTGTTCCAATGCGGAGCCTAAAGATTTATTCCTCGTTTGCCACATAGTGGAAAAAAAAAACCTGGGAATAGAGTTTTTAAACAGGACATTGTCCGTTCGGCCATCTTCTGAGTCTCAAGTTTGAGTTGTAGAGGTAACATGTTGGAAACCTGTGGAATTCCATGGCAATTCCAGCAATGTCCAGGTCTGGGTCAGACTTAGAAATCACTATAACCACGTCCAGCCACAAGTCAGAGCAAAGATAATTTCAGACACTTGTATCCAGGCACTCTTTCCTTCAGTAGAAAAGGTTAAGTAGACGGACCAGTAAATATAGGCTTGCTTTGCTTGGCTCTGTCTTCACCTTGGCAGCCTTGACCATCACCAGCTTTTCTGTTCCAAACTGTTTCCTCATCTCGTCAATTTCTTGAACTCTTCTGATTAAAGCACAGGCTGACCCCTGACCTGCCGTCTATGTAAGTAATCAATGCAAATAATCAATTTTTGCGTATTTTGTATTGACCATGAATGACACTAGCCCTATGCTAAAGAGCAACGATGAAAGAATACAGTGAAAGTTTTAACAACAGAACGTTTCATAGCGATTGTAATTACTCTAATGATCCTTAATGGCTACTCTAGAAAAAAGACATGTACACAATTACAAACAAGTATGGAAGCTGGTAAAAGAGCAAAACTCGCACTTTCTAAACAAATCTGCTTCCATTTAGCGGTATTCACTTCTATAACAACCAAACTGGTTGAAAAATGTTTCCAGCTTCTTGTAAAATGTCTGCCTATAATCTCTCCTTTTTTTTTCAAAATATTTTTGAAGCTACACAGAATGACTGTTAGACTTCATCACAGAGCCAAGTTTTGAAGACTTGAAGACATCAGCTAACTGTCCACAGTTAAAGTAATAAGGCGCAGCTTGAAATGTTTAGCAACAGTATGATGACTTTGGTGTTAGGTGGTGTTTTTTCTAGCAGAAAGGAGTAACTTCTGAACGCTTTGCGACTAGTATATGTCAGCTAAAAAGTCAAATGAAGTGGTAGAATAAATTGTATGTCGAGGAAAAAGATCAACTGGTGAAGAAAAAAATCACATCTCACATTTGATAACAGTATCATCTTGAGACTAATGAATATTTGTATTGAGTAAGAGAGAAAACGTAATTCAAAGAGTAGAAGAAAAGAAAAGCCTAAAACCCACAAGATTTAATGGGGAACAGTCCCAAAGTCCTCTCAAATCTGGGAAACATGACATCACCAAAATTATAAAAGTCTGAAGGGGGGTGGAGGGTTCCTCAACTTGAGCTGCCAAATTCCTTTCTTCCTTGTCGTTATCCCTCCTTTACTTTCTCTTGAAATGTGAAATTAGCTGAAACATGAGGACAATTACAAAGAAGGCCCAGCATAAAATGTGGGCAGTGGGAAAATAAACCGATCCCAGACCCCTGAACAAATCTGGTTTATTTTACAAATCTTCCTCTGAACTCTTGCCAATGTTTCCTCCCAGGGCAGTTTCATGTTTACACCTTGAAAATTGCTAGACGATCAAGAGGGAGCACACTCGGACTCATTGCTTTCCTTTGTTCTGCCAGAGGACGCTCGGCTGAGCATCGCACCTCGAACGTAACATTAGAAATGTCTAATTGGCTAAAAATATGCAGGTCATCCTTTTGAAGTTTTTTTTTCCCCCAGCCTTATGTGCCACTTCTTCTGGTTTTTGCTGTCCATCCCTATTTACAGTACATCTGTGGGAAAAAAACAGTGGGTAAGCTATCTTATTTGGTGTCTGCAAAGACTGTTGAGGCGTTTTATAGCTTTTCCCGTTACTGCATTTTCCAAACAGTGTGTGAGAGGCACCAGAGCACGGCTGAATTATTCGGGGGTGCGGGGGATAAGGGATAAGGCCGACGTGTTATACTGCACAGCTGTAAAAGGGTCCTGCGGGAGACATCAGAGGGTTGCCATGTCAGAATGTCAGAATGTAAACTTGTCTTGTTTATATATATATATATATATATATATATATATATATATATATACTTATATATATATATAAAATCCAATTTTAGGAAATAAAATTGGCTGAAACATTGCCTGATTATATCCAGGACTGACAAAAGAAGAAGAAAAAAAATCATATCCAAAATAAAAAAAAAATGAAAATAGAGAAATTTTGAAATAGATTAGTCATATATAAATGCATAAGAGGTTTTAGACAGGTCAAAATTAGAAACTTTATTATAGTAGACTCATAGAGCATACCAAAAATAAAGTATACCTTTTTTCAATTCTTGGATTTCGTTGTGTGGCTCTTATCATGTGTACTACAACTGATCCCACTTACTGTGACCAAAACAGAAAAGTTTGTGAAAAACCTATTAAGCTCCAAACAGGTTTTGGGGATATGTAACCTGTACATGCACAGGTTACGTAAAAACCTTCAGTTGTTTTTGTTGGAACTGTACATCCTGCTTTGAATGCAACCACTCACATGTAATGACATCACAGGGGTTGCTAAAATAAAACTAATTATTTTAAAGGTGGAATCATCCTTGCTATTGCAAAATATGCACCTGCTAACTTTATTCGTGATCTCTTAATATTGGTACCGTTTGCCTGGAGTTGAGCCTGATGTGTATTGTCTAACTAACTTGACTACTGTGTGAACTATTTGTGGAAAGGGTAAAGTTTTGCTGTGGCATTTTAATATCAGGTGGTCGGAAAGCCTCGTATTTTCCAAGGTTGCACTTACTATAAAAACAAATACAATCACTTTCAGAGTGCACTATGAGAAAATAGGTTATTAAATATGATGCTTTCAATATTAAATAAGCTGATTTACAATGGTAATGTCGATGAATGTTTAAATTCCCTTAATATTAATTACTATTTTTGGTTAAAAAAAGGTTTTTGATTTCAACAGAGAACCATATTGTCTGATGTATTTATATGGGTTATATTATGAGTGACTAAAACAAATCAATAAAGGGAAGAACAGTCATAAGATTTGTGGTTAAGAGCTTTTCTGAGCTGGAGCAAGAATTTAAGCTCGTATCCAGCTTTAGACACATCGCTAATGCTAAAGGCAAACATGCTAACAATGAGATTCTCTGATAAAAGGGCATCTTATCTGAGGTTGCCAGGGGAAAATTTTAATACCAAAGTGTCAGAATACATTTAAAAGGTTTTAAAAACATATAATACCATCACTATGTTACTCATTTAGTTATTTGTGTCTCTTTTAACGTGGAGACAGGGGCGCAACTACATACTTTCTGAGGTGTATGCGAACACATCATCTGCCCCTCCCAACCCCTCCAATCCACAACTCCCTCTCCTGGCCCAGGTTTAATATGTGCATACAGCTCTGCCTCATTCATGCACTTACAAAATACAGTAATTCTACCATGGACTTTGTTCAGTAGAATTTCAACTGGGCCAATCAGAAAACAGATGGAGAAGTTGTGAACAACAACATCTGTCCGCCTGCAGTTTTAGCAATAGCAACGGAGGATGTGTGAAGCCGTTCAGTCCGTGTGTTGGCCACGTTCCAACACTTGACTGACATTCAGGTCTTGTGAAATTTTTACTGAATTT